GGCACAGGTGCAGCATCTTGCAGTTGTGTGCATTTGTAGAAATCGGCAATAAAAGAAGGTCAGTTTTTAATGGAACATTTTAAAATTGTTCCATGTTCCTCATGTTATAAGGACATGAAAAGCAAGGTTTTGCTTTGAAATTGAGTTGTTACTGTTGGGTACACAGGTACTCCAAGATGTCAATCATGTATTGCTAGATAAATGCTGTTTTCAAAAAGCCAGTTTTTTCTTTTTTGTAAGGAAACTTCAGAATCAATTGTTAGTAGGTTTAGTACAAGCTATTATAATTCAAAAGGTATTGCAATTTCATAATTTTCCCCAAATTGCTGGAAGAGGAATAGTGTAGGAGGGTTCCTGATTATATTATGGCAATTGGTAGTGCACAGTTGTTCCCTGATCCATTCCTTTTCTCAGAAGTGCACAGAACTACTTAAATTAAATGCATGGCAGTTTTTCTTTCCGTAGCATTCAGTTGTCTTGAGTAGCAGATTGGAATGTCCTTTGAAACACCCTGAGAGAAATTTGTACAAGGGCAGGTATTGTTAGATAAGAGAGTAAATTTAGATATTAAGAGGAAATTACTTTCTGTGGGGGTGGGGAGGCACTGGAGCAGGTTGCCCAGAGAAGTTGTGGATGCCCCATTTCTTGGAGTTTGGATGGCAATTTGAGCAACCTGATGTAGTGAAATATGTCCTTGCCCACAGCAGGGTGATTGGAACAAGATTATTTTTACTCCATCTTTAACCCTTCCAACCCAAACCATTCTATGTTTCTAATATGCCAGCAGCTCAGATATTATGGAGGGTGGTCACTTCAGGTTGATTATTCCTACCCAATAATGTGGGCATCAGTGTATCTCCTCTGTGCACTGTTCTTGGAGAAAAAGTAGGTTTTCCTTCGCCCTTGCAAAGTCGTTTTTCATTTAAAGCAAATGGTAGACAAAGGTTTTAAATACAAGCTCAACAGCTGAAGGCTAGTGAGTTGAGTTTTTGGTGAACTAGAAGCAAGATTCCACTACTGGCAGAGCAGTTAGATTATGTGAGAGGGATCGGCAGCTCCCCCTCGAGGAAGCTGTGGGCTGCAGTGGAGTCATCCCTCAGCCTTCTGTTCTCTAAGCTGAGCAAGTCAAGTGAGGTCAGCTGCCTTTCACCCTGCTGGATGCCCTCCTCTGCGCACACTCCAGTACTCTGGTGATGTCCTTCTTGTGCCGGGGTGCCCCCAGCTGCAGCCAGGACTCAAGGTGAGGCCACGCCAGTGCAGAGCAGAGTGGGACAATCACCTCCCTTGACATGTTTCTTCATACAGCCTGTTCTGCTGTTGCTGCGTTATTTGTGCCTGGTATTAAACTGTGAAACTAACTGTTCTTCCTTGGCCATTTTCCTAGTGCTTATCCACTACCAGATATCCTAATGCACACTTTTTAAAAGCACTTAAAATACTTGTGAACAAGCCTAACTAATGCCCCACTTTTACACATTGTATTACTGTCACCATTTGCCCCACGAAAGACAAGCTTTGAGATTAGCTAGATCTCTGCTCTGTTAAATACAGTCATGCAAAATCTTTGAGGAAACAGCAAAACTGTAACTAGAACTTCATTTTTTGCATGTTGGTGAATTCAGAGTGTGGTTATATGTGGTTAAACTGACTTGTTTAAAGACTGCCTTTGTCTGACCTTGCTTTGTTGACATTGTTCAGTGTCTTATTCCACCAGTCTGGCTGATCCCACTTAGCTGTTCACTTTATAAGAGACCAAGAAGGATTAGTCATGTTCTTGGGTTTTGTTGATGAAATGATTCATTGTGGGTGCAGATGGGTGCCAGCTGCAGGTGTCCTTGGCTGCCTGGCCCAAGCATGGGCTGCAGCCATGTCTCCCCTCTCTTGCTGTGTCTCTGGACAGCTGTAGGACCATGTCTCCCCTCTCTTGCTGTGTCTCTAGACAGCTGTAGGAGAGTGGGAAACTGGCAGTGCAGGAGGAAGGAGAAAAGTGAAAACAGTGTGTATAGGCTGCACTGCAGAGTTACTGCTATGCTATCAGTGAGCTTGCATTCTTGCTGCAGTAGTAGTGTCTCGCTGTGTTGTCAGTGTGGTAGAACCAAAGTGAAAATAGGGGCTTACTCTGAAAGCTGATGGAATTGCAACTACCAGCCTGTGATTCTGTTTGAGTAATGCAGGGACAAAGGGCAGCTACCTGCTGCAGAAATTTCTGTAATTCTGTCAGCTGAGGTCTTCCAGTAAACTTAAACTGGATGTACAGTTGTCACTTTCCTAAATTTAGCCAAAATGGAAATGCGTATTAATTCAAAAAAGTGTTGGTAATATAGGGGCTTTCTACATAGATGACCTTGACAAAGAAAACAGACATATTGGATGTTACTTAGTGCTAATATTAACTTCCTTCTTTGAGAGGTCAAAGTAATTGGTTGGTTTTTTTTTGGTGACATAACGGAGGTAAATGAGGAGCATATACTTCTTCTGTCAGAGATCTGATTGGAAGAGAAGTGTGTGGTTTTTATCACAGGGGCCAAAGAGTTAATTTTACATGAGTCATTTTGGTCTCTTGTCATCTTTTTGTCATCTTTAAAGATGTTATAGTCTGTAGTCTGTCTTAACTGCATGCATTGATGGTCACATTAAAGTTTGAATTTACGGTTGCCGTTTTTATAGGGTTTATGATGAAATAAAAGGCTACAGGATTCACATACACTGAAATTTTTAGGTTTCATAGTTTGGTATGTCCAGATTTTGTTTTCTAAAACCAGTACAGGGTTCATTTTCCCCTGTGTGTAACTAGATTTGCCAAATCAGACCTCACATGGTATTAATGCTATTCATCCCATCCCTCTAAATCTTTCTGTAGATTGTCATCCAATTTTGAAGCAGTCTGTAATATGGAGACTGTTAATGGTCCAAATACTTGCCAGAAACTGAGATATCTTAGAAGTCCATACACTTCTTAAAAAATGTCAGCTTTCTAAGAATGCCTGTGTACAATCATGAATATATGAATATTTCTAAACTGAGATGTTTCTGAATTTTAAAAAGAAAATTTATACAGTGGTTAAACCTCATTGAGTTGATTTCAGCCAATCAAACTTCTATGCTTCAGGGAGAAAATGGCAACTTCCAACACTAGGAGAAAAAATTTTTGGCAAAGTTTTTGTTTCTTTGGTTTTAATTTCAGGGTAGGGCAAAGCCTGATCTGAGTAAATTTTTGTTCCACATGGATATGCATCTTTTTGTCATATGAATGTATGAGTGAAACTGCTTGGGGCAATAAAATACCTGCTTTAACTCTCTAATTAATGGGTGATTTTGTTTTTTTTCTGAATGACTTTGATTTTATGCAAACAATATGTTCTATTAAATTTGTGGCTTTACAAATTACTGCAGAGTTTGACTTAAAGAACAATATTGTTCAACACCTATTTGATATCCTCTGTGAGAGAAAATAATGCTAAATACCTGCATTTTCTCTACCTGTTGCCCAGGTTTATGGGATGCACATGTGCAAACTTTGTTCTTTAGACAAAGATTGTTCTTTGTTAGCTTGTGCCTTCTCTTGTATTTGTCTGAGTTTAATGCAACCAAAGGCCTTGCAAATTGAGATAAAAAAATATTTCTTCTGCTAAAGGATCACTTATTGTTACTCACAATAACTAATTACAATCAGCAGTGCCAGGATTGCAAGAAGAATGTCATTGCTTTTGGATGTATGATTTTTCAGAGTTTTGGCTTTTGTCCAGCTCTGGTGTAGAGCACTTTAACTGCCTTCTCCTTCTGCCTTTGGCATCTAGCTACAGCGTTGAAAACAGGCTGATAAAAAATAATTTTTGTTACCTAGACACATGTCTTAATGTTCCCCAAGCTACCATGTATCTTTTGAGCAAAGTGGTCTGCAACGAGATTCATTTGGAGTGGTGTTTAATTTTTTTCATTTTTTTTTTAATATTAAAATCCTGTCTTCAGAAGCTGTAGGCAATAAAATATCATCCTGACTTGGAGGGGTAACATTGGAATATACATATCTACATCCTTGATTTCCCTTTATTTTTAATGTAATGGGTCTGAGGCATGTGATGGGTCAGCTCATTCCTGTCCCCTGAGTTAGAGGATATTTTGGTCATCTGAAGAGGCAAGGGTAACCACGTAGTTTATCCACAAAAACCAGTATTGCTTGTGCATGGGAACCTGTAGGAAGAGAGATGTTTCCTTTCAGGTGCAGAGCTCTGCATCTTCTTTCCAGTTTTACAGGGCTTGTCAGGCAGGTAAGCTGTCTCTGGCATTTGGAGTTCTCAAACTATAGATAAATGAATGACTGTGGTAGGAATCATAAAATCCAGACACCGCACCGCTGGAGCAGAAGACAAGATCTTAGTTGGGTTTCCCACAGATGGAAGGAATAACCTTTACATGTCAGGTAACTGGTCAGTAATAGCTGATTTGCATCTGCTTTCTGGAAATGATCTGTTTGTACTTAAGTCCTTCAAATCAAGAAAGGGAGCTAGACCCTCTTAACAGCAAAACTGACTGCCTGCTTACCAGATGCCCAGTTTACAGTACTGTAGATAACACAGAAGCCTAAAGTTAGAAGCTGAAATAAAAGACTTCCTGCTTTTACTTTAAAACCTCAGTCTGTTTTTACAGTGTATCTTTGTGGTTGGCTAAGATGCTTGTTCACTCACTCTGCCTCCTCTGCCTCTCAGGGAATGTAGAGAGGATAGGGTGTGAAGGCTCAGGGGTCAGGATATAGGCAGGGAGATTGCTTGCTAGTTAATATTGTGGGAAAAACAGGCTCTTCTTGGAGAAAATTAATTATCAGTGTGATTTCACTAAACTACCCCCTCTTGAGAAGAATCATGCATATTGTTTGTTGGACGTTTATTCTCCAGAGTATCTGGAGAATCCAGACTTTTATATCACCAGTGTGATTTGCTAGGCAGGTGAGACTCTGCTCTTGTTGATAATGTGTTACTAACATGCTTTCCCTCTTATGACAGATGATGGTAATGTCAGATGGCACATCGTTTTCTTCAGGGCAGAGCCTTCATCTCCCCAGCCTTCCCAGTAACTCTCTGTCTTTTTCTGAAGTGAAGAAGAAATCATCTCATGGGCCAAAGGTGAGACTTATTTTACTAGAAGGAATTTGAGCCAGAAGTGCTTTTCCTGGTAATGAAATTAATTTAAAAAAAAATAATCTAGATGCGTTTTGCAATGTTTTAATTGGTAGGCCAATGATAACAGGTCTTGACATTTCTTTGCTCTGTACTTACTGTCTGACATGTGAAATACTGCAGTTACAAGGATGGCTATGAGAACAAATACCAGTGAAGGTTCTCTGGTTATTGTACTTGTACAACTGCTTTCCTCCTGTTCCAGAAGGAATTGTAATAGTGTCTTATAATATGAGGATTATAGTGATAGAAGTGTGATCTGTGGAAATGTAAAGAATATGAGGTAATACTGTAATAATAATTTCATTTATTAAGCATTTTTAAGGATAGTTGTGTAGAGTGAAACTTGAAGCTTCGTTCTTCAGGATTTTTAATTTTGATTAAATTTGAGAGGTTAATTCTTTCCTAGGTGTTTCAAAGAAAGCAATGTGTCACTGGTCTCTAGGACATCAAATTTTGAATCCCCAACTTAAAATGTGGTAAAAAGGCATGGTCCAAGGAACCACTTGAGTAATACAGATAGACCTTTCTGAAATAGCAGATAATTTCTTGAGAAGATGAACTAATGGTATGGGAAAATATGAAAAAATGTTGTTCTTTATTCACATATGAAATGCAATGCAAGCCTTTTCTCCATTCTCTTAAATAGTTTGGCTTTTTGTTTTCTTTTGTAGTATCCTATGGATTTGAAACATATTACTTAATCCTGCATATACTTCAAGGGGCAATACCTATTTTTATTAGTAACTTCTGTGTTCACTATCTGTGCCAAATCTTGTATCTTGGAAGAATTGTCAGGTAATGAACTAAGGGTTTGCCTAAGAAAAGATGGTAGGGATACATAATAAGCAGGGACAGGCAGAAAATGTTCTTTGACATGTCTCTGCCTGGTGTGCATTGTACAGCCGCACAATCTCTAATGCAGGTGGTCTTGCAACATTTAAAGAATATATGGAAGTGTGTTATTTTCCTAATGAGAAGCTGAGGTATAATCTGAGGATTAAACGGAGGGTGCGTACTTTGGCATACTAAAATTAGTGCTTAATGTCTCAAAGGAAAGCAGATGCCTACATCAGGTGCTGAAGAAAGGTGCTGCTGGTTAGACTAGGATGTATCTCCATCTGATTAGATACCAAACATTACTGTGACACTTGACCATCTGTAATAGGGGTTCTTGTGATGTTGGTAGGTAGATACCTAGAGTTCATTTTCCAGTCTCTTCTGAGGAGTTGGCTGTAATGTTGATTCACTCATGCCTTGCTTTGCATGCCAAAGCAGGTGTGCTGAGGCTTGGGTTAATAAACAACCCAAGCATCTCTAGAAGGACTTCATAGAGGTACTGACATGATACTGGTTCCTGTACTAATTCTCCGCCTAGTAACTGTACACTATGGTAAGTGTTGATCTCAGTTTTTTGTAAGCAAGTGTAAACCTGGGAAGTAATTTTCCAAATTGTATTTAGACAGTGAATTTCCATCTGATGTGGAAAAACGTCAAGTGTGGAGTGTGATGGAGTGAAGCAGGTATTTGTTGAAGTCTGTATTTGCTGCAGTCATCTATATAAACTAGTGCTTAAAATCTTTTCATTTTCTGCTGAAGCAACTCAAACGTACGCAGAGAGTTTGCCCCATACTGTGCAGCTATGTATGAAGAGGTTAGGCATGCATCAGGATTCCATCCCTAGAATTTTTAGTAGTGGGGAGAAGTGTTTTATACACTGATTTTTTTTCAGTCCCTGTGGATATTTGATTTTTCCTCTCCCCCCAGCAGTGATTGCTTCACCCTGTCCAAACTTGGAAGGCATGCTTATGAACAGTTAGTCTTTCATCTCATAAGGATAGGCTTGTAAATACCTGCCTTGCTGAGAATCATAAGCTATTCTTGAGAAATGGAAACACAAGATAACCTCTGGTATACTGCAGCACTAAAGTTTGGGGTTTTTATTGCAAGTTCTTGGAGCTGAAAAGCCTTGAATTTTGGTCTTAAGTGTTTTTGTTCTGGTTGGAATGTAGGAAAGTTCCAGCCAATGTACAAATAGATTTTTGGGTTTGTCATTTGGAGTAACCCCAACGATAGAACAACTTCATGTCCAGATTTCATTTAAATATGCCTCTAGAATAAGAGTTGCAGGAAAGTCTTGATAGTTCTTGGGCATAAGCTGCTGGTCACAAAAGTACTCCAGATGTCTGCACTGGGTGACTTTGGGATTTTTAAGCTACAGCAATAGGCCTTTGATGTGCCTGGCCTAGTTTTGGTTTGTTTTGTCTGTGAATACCACAGTTAACTTTGAGGTAATTTGAGTGTGGAACAGACAGAACGTTATGCTTCTCTGTTTGCCACTGCAAAGTAGCACTAAGCTTTATGGTTAGATAAGAATTTAAGTAACAATAAAACCAGTGCAACAAAATGTTATTCTTGGTTTAGCATTCGCTTACGAAAAGTACAATACAGTATGAAATAACAGACAACTGTCAGTTTACTTTCTGTCACATTCACTTCTTAAATATGTATTAAATAGAGATGTTTGTATTTCTAAAGTGATTTTTATTTTCATTCAGTTTAATGGAGATGGTATTAGTGAGCCCCACTCACTATTTTTTTAAAAAAATTATTTTTTAAAGTTATTTTGATTACAAAACAAAGCTTTAATCTTGGAAGTACAGATGTCAGGCAGAATTGTATGAAAACTTTTCCTTTATGCATTTTTTTCAGAATGTAAGAATAGCTGCAGGCTTCTTACAGGTATTTGTGTTGAATTAAAATAGTGCTATTGCTATGCCTGTTTGTGTTATATAAACATTACATGCACAGAATAGAGATAAAGCTTGGTTGGTTTTCCTTGGGGATTATTATGTCTTTTGCAACGAACTGTAGTATCAGAGAAACAAGAAACAAGATTTATTTTATAAGCAAAGAAAACAAAAGCTTTTATTCCTGTGTGTGACCAGAAAAAAACAGAAATTGTTTTATGCTCCCCCAGTTGGCCTTCACTGTTAAGCCAGTGAGCTTTGTAATTCTCCATCTGCTTCTAATTCTTCTGATCATCATAACAGTTGATGGTCTAGGCAAAATTGAAGTCTGGAAGGATTTTCAAATTTTTGTTGGAAACAGGTAAATTCATCTCCTACTCCAGGGTATTTTTGGAGGTTCTCAAATATTGTGATTTTCTTTCTTGGTTTTTTGCCGCCCCCCCCCC